GATTTGGTCCTTGATCTACTGCAATAATGAGACGTCGAAAAGTTCCAATTTTTTTTTTTGTCATATATGTGAATATAACCTTGTAAGTAATCACCTTAAGGAAAGCGAAGGAATATCAGGACACTCTTTGAGATAAATGCTCCTGAATGGTACATGAAAATATGAGTTTAGGAAAAACCTGTAATGAGTACAGAACATTTACATTATGTGGTGGTTCTTTAAAATGTCCTTCACACTCACACACCTCAATCTCACTTACAAAAAAGGTTCTGTGAAGGGGATTTTCGAAATTTCTACAGAATTAAAGTGTTAGTCATCGTGTTTTGCTTCATTCTAGAAAAAAATTCTCTGTTGTACTAACTTGTTCATAGTGGTGGTGATAAGAAAGAGAAGTCGAAAGCATTCAGCGCCTTTAAAAGCTTCGTAAAGGCAATGCAAGGCTAAATAAAAGGCCCAAAGAAAATAACTTTTTAGATTTACAACTATTTTAAACCACGATCAACATTACATATAAAAACTTCACCAGCCATTGTCAATAAAAAAAAAAAAAAGTGGCTATTTTTGTATTGTAGACATCGCAATCCCTGGTTACTATGACCACCACTCACACTTATCTTACATAAAACCACTTCAAACTTATTTGTTTATTATGATTCAGAATTTTTAAAAAAATTGGTGGAATTCCCCTTCGAAAGGTTTTCTAAGGGAACTAAAGTAGTTCTTCTATGGAATCGCTCCAGAGAACCCTTTTTGGCACCTCTAGTTTTTAGAGTGTAGACAAGTTTCAGGTTCCTCCAACATGCAAGTTCCAACAACAGGAAAATGTGAGTTCACCTTTGCTTCTAGCTTCGCAGTGAAAAGTTAAAAAGTGTGAAAGTTAAAAAGTGAGCGATTAGTGGACAGAGACATTAGTGACAGTGGAGAAAAGTCCATGAGCTTTTACTCGAGCAAACTTACTGTGAGTTCAGACTTCTGTTCTGTCCTCAGTGCCTCACCTGCACAGGTAATCCTAGATAGAGTCGGCTGCCGGCCCACAGAGAGAGAGAGAGAGAGAGAGAGAGAGAGAGAGAGAGAGAGGTAGAGAGAGAGAGAGAGAGAGAGAGAGAGAGAGAGAGAGAGAGAGAGAATTTGTCTCAGTGGTCAGCTGTTTTCCTCTCCACAGTGTGTGATTTTGAAGATCCGTACAATCCACAGTGCACATCTGTAGCAGGAAGAGTCTCGGCAGGGCAAAGCACAGCTCAGCCTCTCTCTCTCTCTCTGTCTGTGCTGCTACACAGTTCACACCCACACGCACCTGACACAGGAAGTCTCCATGCGAGGAGGTGGAGCCACAAAAGAAGGCAGGTAAACATGAGAACTGCCCAAACCTGCTCTGGAGCTACCAGCCACCTGTAAAAATCAAATAAGCTTTAGTTGGCTCTTAGAAGTAGTTTTGATACAGTGTTATATGTAATTACACATTATTGCATATTCATTACATAAAAAAGATGTCCAAAGGTCTGAGATTAGCAGTGTAAGTGCTTCAGTTTTACATTATTTTCTAATGTAATACAAATCATTACAACTTAAATTATCAGCAGAATAGTTTGAGTGAAAAGTATAAAATCTTTGAAATATTTAAACCGATTTCAGAATCTGTTATTATTTGTTATATTTTTTAACTTCTGGTATTTTTACATAAATTGTTATGGCTGTATTGATTTAAAAAAAAAACAATAATGTGGTGGGTCCACCAGACCACTGAGGAACAAACACACCAACACCACACAAGGGTTAAATGTGAATTCACCAAATTCAAATCGCAATAAAATATCTCCTCCTCTGCTCACAAACACAAATATGGTATCAACTGTTTGTGCTTTTATCTCCATCAAAAAAGGAGATTTCTAAAGGTTAGGTTAAGTTGTTCCACAGCACACACTCACCTTTACAGTTTTCTTTATGGGGTTTGAGCTCATAAACCTGCAAGCTTTGACATGTCAGTGGAAAGAGAGCACCTAAACTAGAACTACAAAGAGCCCAATACACCACACCAAAGCTATTACACTGAGAGAGAGTGGGGGGGTGGGGGTGGGGTGGGGGCAAAGACAGAGAGAGGTACTTTGATTACAGGGATTATAAAGTTTCCTGCTTTTGAGCCTAAAGTGGTTACTGTACTGCCTGACTAGACTTTCAGTACACCGTCTCATGTTCTCACGCTGGGCCACACAACAGGTGTGTGTGTGTCAGGGTGTCATATGCTGACAGAGGAATGACGTATGAATGATGAATACATGTTATTGTCATTTGCTGTCCCTGAGTGCTGTACGCTTCAGTGAGAGCACTTCAGGCAGTGCAGGACCTTGCCAGGCACTAACTTACCAGTTAATTAGTTTCATCCTCCACTCTAATGACTCCTGTACTCAAACCCTACAAGAACCACCAGTATCTCCTTATTCTATATGTCCAAAAGTATTCAGACACCCCTTTTAAATAGTGAACTCACCCATTGATGAAAAAGCCATCAACTGTGCATGTAGGAAAGTATCGCCAACAAAGCGGGATTCTCTGGAGCAGCTGCACATGAAGGTCACCATGCCCAATGCCAAGCATCAGTTAGAGGGGTATAAAGCCCAGAGCATAGCACCAAATAGTACAGTAGCCCCAAGTACAGTATCGTGTTCAGGCCTGCCTCCTTCTCTCAAAAAATTTTAAGAAATGTAAAAATATAATGTGTTTATTGTGCTGTATTTCTTTATGAGGTTGGTTGATCTGCATTTAAGGGTAAAACAGCTGACAATCAATAGGTTAGTGTACTTTGAAACATTAATATTGCTGTTCTTTAGTAAGAATTAGACTTAAATTTGTTCTCTGTTCAAAAGAAAAGCTTTTTTAAAAATATATTAATATTCACTGCTCCAGCACCCATATCAGTTCTCTCTTTGCATTGGAATTGTGATAAGGCAGACTGTTTTCATTTTATCACAGGACGGTTATGACTTTGTCTATAGTCAAAATCAGTTTGTTTAGCTGTTAAATGTGCTGTAGTACATGCTTTGAATGACATTTTTCAACATTGCTGGACTGAGAATAGTCCACAAACCAAAAATATCCAGCCAACAGCGTCCTGTGACCACTGATAAAGGACCACAGGATGGCCAACACAAACTGTGCAGCAACAAATGTCTCTGTCTTAACATCTACAAGGTCGACCAACAAAGTAGGTATGTCTAACAGAGTGGACAAAGTGAGTGGACACAGTGTTTAAAACTCCAGCAGCACTGGAGTTCTGATCTTGGTTTTGTAATTACCTGCTTTTGTATAGTTTGGCATAAAAAGCATTTTATAGTCATTTGCATTATATATATATTGTATCTCTCTTGTTTCAGTGCATGGATTTGGTGAATGGGAACTATTATGAATATCATTATTGTATAATTTTGAAAATATTTACATACACTCACTGTCCACTTTATCAAAAACACACATTTTCTGCACTCACTGGTCACTTGATGAACTACATCTACCATATACACTGATCAGCCATAACATTAAAACCACAGCAGTGCTGCTGGAGTTTTTAAACCACTCCACTCACTGTTCACTCTATTTGACACACCTACCTTGCTTGTCCACCTTGTAGATGTAAAGTCAGAGACAGTAGCTTATCAATTGCTGCACAGTTTGTGATGGTCATCCCCTAGTCCTTCATCAGTGGTCACAGGATGCTGCCCACTAACATGCCACTACCACATCAGTGTCACTGCAGTGCTGAGAATGATCCACCACCCAAATTATACCTGCTTTGTAGTGGTCCTGTGGGGCTACCAAAGGGGGCTAACAACGTATACAGAGAAACAGATGAACTACAGTCTGTAACTGTAGCACTACAAAGCACTCCTATAGGTAAGTGGAGCTGATAAAATGGACTGGTCGTAGAAATAAGGAGGTTGTTTTTAATGTTTTGTGTGGGTCCACAATATAGGTGCACTATTACAGAGCCCATCTATTGTCATGCACAATTTGTACACCACCTTGTACTGGCCACCAACCCTCATCCTGGAGATCTACCTTCCTACAGAGTCTAGTTCTAACCATAATCTGCCACATCTGGTCCAGCTAAGTAACTTCTCCAGAAATCCTTGACTGGCTGGATTGGATGATTTAGGAATAAACTCCATTAGGAGTGTTGGTGACCACTGCTGTACCCCCATTCATTATTGCTAAGGTCCACCACTCAAAACATATCCAGCCAAGAGTGAGTCTTTGGTCAGAAACTGACCATTGATGAAGAGTATGGGCTACAAAGTCTAACTGGACACCCTAAGGTAGATACTTCTAACAATGTGGTATGTGAGTGTATAGTAGCATGTGTATCTGTGCCAGTTTGTATTTCCGTAAATTTAATCCACTGACTATGACTGTAACTTCATACATGTGTGTGTGTGTGTGTGCTTTTGTTTGTACATGTACATGCTAGGTCAGCAGGTCATCAGAAAAATGAACAGTGCGTGAGAAAGAGGGCAGAGTGAGCTCAAAAAGTCAGTTTATTGCAACACTAAGCGATTAATCCCGCATCAACAAACAAACACAGACACTGGTAATACAGAGAGGAGAGAGAGAAATAGTAAAGGTGGGTTTCGATTCATGTATCATTGTATGTATTTTGACATATACAATAAAAATGACTTGGTGGAAACGGTAAATATTGAATAAGGTCTTACAAATTTACTCACTTTGGATAGAAACATTTTCGCTGCTAAAAAAGAAATGTGACAAAATATGATGGAAATGCATTTGGCAAATAAATAACTGAAATGTGAATAAAATTAAATTATATGACTGGTCAGGTAATTCTGCCATACCTGTCCATGGCTAGTGCGTTTTGTCTTTGAATGTGAAATAGAGCCATAAAATAGAGGCACAGGATTATTAAAGTTGTAAAAATGTTTTTAAAAAAGTGAGAAACCCGACTCCTAACTGCAGATTTCACAGATTTTTTCTCCTTTGTCACCTTTCAGTCATCAAAGATCCCTCCATGCTACAAGATTTGCCCACATTTTCAGTTTAAATTCAAGTCCCAACCAATGGTCTCACCTCTCAGAGAAGATTTCGCAGAATTTCTCGTGAACATACGTGACTTCAGATCAAATTTAATATTTACGAGTCAAAATCTGGATGGCCACGGCTGGACTGTGAGGAGATTGAAGGGGTAAAGATCGGACTATACCAACCCCACACCACAGGACGATCTGACAAGGTAATCGTTTAAGATCTTACTGAAATCGGGACACTTTCTGTGATTGATAGAAGGGATGAACTGGCCTCAAAATCGCCTGATTGTCATGTAGAGCACCAGACATTAACCTCTTACATGGCCTGGGCCCACCGGCCAGTCCACAGTTTTATTACACACTTCTATAACCTAAGAATAGTTCAACAAGTTTACACTGACGTCCTTGTAGTTACTGAATAATAAGCCTTAGTGTGTAATAAGCCTGGGATTTTAAGGAGATAATTACATTGTGGCATTCTTTGTTTTCATAAAATACAGTTAACAAAACCATGGAGGAAAAAAATTATGTGTGTGTGTATTTGCAGTTTAGCTGGGAGGAGTCAATTCCATCTTGTTGAATAAATCTATGCAGAGACTCTTCTTTGTCCTGGTACCCAGGTGGTGGAATGAACTTCCACTGGCTGCTGAAACAGCCGACTCCCTCACAGTCCTCAAATGCAAACTGAGGACCTATCTCATTGTAAAGCACTAAGTGAGCACTAATCTAAGTACTTATTCAAATGCATTGTATTACATTTATGCTATGTTTAATCCTGTATCTTTCTTTCTAGGTACCATCACCGGCTCTTGTTTCTGGCAGTGTCTGAGCTCAAGGGTACTTTGGACTGTTTGGATGTATTTGTGCTAGCTAGGACACATTCTCTTGGACAACAAAGGACTTTTGCAAGTCACTCTAGATAAGAGCATCTGCTAAACGCCATAAATGTATCCCTTTCACACTCAAAACCTGAGATCTACTGGTTTATCTTTACCAGAAATGTTTAGGCCTTGTGCCATTCACACATACAGCCCTTGAACGGTATCTTACTGGGATGCACACATTCATACACACTATAAACATTCTGGTAAACAGGAGGAGATGTTCACAGCATGAACATTTCATTTCAGTATCATGTACAATAATACCCATACTCCCATTTCTTTGCTCTGGTAAAAAATGAACATGACCGTAAAAGCAACATTCTGCGTTGCTGTTTGCAGGCAGGGTTGGTTTTTTGTTATTTCTCTCTAGAATCTTCAACAAATAAGACTCTATAATTTTTTACTCACAAGACTAAAAAAGTGTAACAGAAACATTCAGCTTTTCCAGCTCCACACACAGCATTGTGCTTCGATGCAAACCTGAACTGACTCAGCAAAATTGTTTCTGAACCCATCATCATGTTTTGAGTCTGAAACTGATGTGAATATAACGAAATTCTGTCCGAAATTGAGTCCGAAAGTGCTGAATAAAACCTGACAGACAGCACTGGTTACTGTGTAGCGACAACAAAGTCACTAGTGTGAGTAATGGAAAAAATATACAACATTTAATAATGTGCTACAACTGAATTATTAGGAGCCGGATTCTCTTCATTGTTAAGAAAAAAAGTTATGAGAAATTGTTATTCTTCAAATGACTTTTCAAGAAATATGAAAGTGAATGTTCTGCCAGGAAGACTGTAACGCTACGTCATTCATTCTTTGGTCCTGACCAACACCTACCAGCCTACATCTGTCTTTAAAATGACTCGACTCGACATCCTGCTGCTTGCAGGTGTCTACATTTTGACGTTCCCCTCCTTCCACTCCACCACCACCAGTTGGGTCCCTGTCTGGTTGTCCAGGGGGAAGGCTCTGTCCCTACCGTCTCCATCTGGCAGGATCAGCGAGGGTCTCGGCACCCGGGGGCTACGTCAAAGACTCTTTAATTTCTACGGAATTGTTATCTTTCAAATTGTAAAATTCCTTTGAGGATATGAAAAAACTGTCCTCCTTCACTCCGCGACCCTAGCTGGACTAAGTGGTTAACGACGATGATGATGATGATGATGATGATGATCTCCTCCTTCACTCTCACCTCCTGAGTCTTTCAGGCAGAACTAACTTATGTACTTTTCTTATCTCTTTTCTTAGGAATAACTCTGGTATTCTTGAAAATATTATGCCCTTAAATGTTTTCCTAACCTTATGACAGCCTCACTCTTGTTTTAGGCTGTAACAGTTGACAAAGTAAGTAATCTAAATTTATCATGGACACTGCATCTGCTACTCCTGCCCATCCTCGTCCATCCCCCCACAGTTATCATATTTTCCATGGAAGATTTTTTTCCTGTTGGCTATTCCCTAATTTTTTAAATGCTATGTTTGATATTTTTCCTCAATTTTCTCCTCTGAGTGAGAGAAACTAAATAACGGAAATAACAGTTATAACACAAATACAAAACGTATCTCATATTTTTAATATACATGGTAAAGTAGCATAGAGCAAATCTTAAGAAAATAATTAGGAATATCTTAAGAGAATATTTAAGAACTTCTTAAGTTTATGAGAATTGCATTTAAGGACATACTTATGAACTTGTGTTTGTCTTAAGAAAGCTTTTGTGAAGCCATAAAATGATGCTTTGAAACTTTTATTTAGTCTAAATAAACTTTCCAGTGCTCTGTTCTTACGCTGTGTATATCTGATATAGCGAAATATTAGTCTCCACTAAAAATCGCATTCTTAAATTGATTCAAAGTTTTTGTCCCGTGTTCTCACGAGCACTGGCCTCTCCCGGTAATGTGTCGGCGTGTTTGCACATGAACCCTCCCAGTAAGGTCTTGTTCAGGTAAATTGCCGTATTAACTGTCCTGGAACTTTGACTGTGCCTAGCATTTACACTTAAGCCCTTCTTGTTTAATCACAGTTAAATTCACAGGTAGAAGTGTGTGGTAAAGGAAGCTGAAATGATGTACATGCTGCTTCACTCCACTCACACACATGTACACCGGAGGTGAAGGTGACTTCGTGCAGCAGTGGATGATGTTCGTTTCTATTCTTCCATAATGCTGTGTGGTGACCCGCTGTCCCCTCGTCATTATGCCCACTGAATCACCTGCAGACACATGCAGGCATAGGCTTTTTTCCTCATGTGTCTCTCCAATCATTGCTCTCTACAGCCTTGTGCCATTAACTTCTTGCTCGCTCTCTCTCTCTCTCTCTCTCTCTCTCTCTCTGTTGCTCTCTCACCTCCTCATTCAGTTCTCTCTTTAATCGAGAATTCTCATTTGCTTTTCCATTACACTGTCCACTCTATTCTTGCTTCCACCATTTTCTTCTGACCATTCTGCCATCTCTACCTCTCCTGTCCATCAGCCCTTGTTCCTCACACTCAGGCAGAGTGAATGAGATGGACCTGGCCTAACCTCTGAGTGAAACTCCTTCTGCTACTCTCCTTTAATGTGATACAAAGCGTCCAGTCTTAGGGAGCAGCTGATGATGAGGTCAGAGCGATCGGATGACACGAGATCACATTACTTTGTAGTGATCTGAAGCACAGACAGTGTGTAGCTGTTATGATGGTAGTTTTTTGTTTATAATTTTTCTTCTTGAATGGAAAGAGAAAAGTAAACAGAGTGTGGTGTGTAAGCCTTCCTCAGACTCGAACATGGAAGAAACTGCTGCGCCTCATTAAGAGCACTTCTGAACTTACGGCCTCTCACTCTTTCTTACTGCTTCTTACTGCCTCTAATTTCTTTCACTGCCTCCACTGAGTTTTACTGACTCTAATTTCTTCTAACCTCCTTTCACTGTATCTGACTGCCTCTCTGTTTTTTACTGACTCTAATTAGCTCTCAATGCCTCTACTGTTTTTCTGCCTCCCTCTGTATCAAAGAGCACACTGTTTCTTACTGACTCTAGTTTCCTCTCACTGTCCCCAAAGTGTTTTACTGCCCCCAACTTCTAACTTCCTCCCACTGCCTCTACGGTTTTATTGCCTCTAACTTCTTCTCACTGCCTCCCTCTGTATCAGACAGCACACTGTTTCTTACTGACTCTAATTTCCTCACACTGCCTCCACTGAGCATTACTGCCTCCAATTTCTTCTAACTTCCTCTCACTGTGTCTCACTGTATCTGACTGCCTGTCACTGCTTCTTACTGCCTCCAATTAGCTCTCACTGCCTCCACTGTGTTTTACTGTCTCCAACTTCTGCTAACTTCCTCTCGCTGTATCTGACTGCCTCTCTGTTTCTTACTGCCTCTAATCAACTCTCACTGCCTTTACTGTTTTAATGCCTCTAACGTCTTCTCACTGCCTCCCTTTGTATTTGACAGTACATTGTTTCTTACTGACTCAAATTTCCTCTCACTGCCTCCGTTGTGTTTTACTGCTTCTAACTTCCTCTCACTGCCTCTAACTGTATCTGACTGCCTCTCACTCTTTCTTACTGCCTATAATTTACCCTCACCGCCTCCACTGCCTCTTGTTTTTCTGTCTGCCTCCCTCTTTATCCGATTGCACACTGTTTCTTACATACTTTAATTTCCATTGCTGTGTTTTACTGCCTCTGACTCTGTAATACCAAATGCTGCCTCTAACTTCCTTTCATTGCCTTTTACTTTGCATCACTGTCTCTATCTTCCACCCAGTGCCTCTAACATCCTCTTACTGCCTGTAATTGTAAACGTACCACCTCTAAATGTGTTTTACTGTGTCTAAATGTATCTTACTGCCTCTTACTGTCTCTCTCAGCCAGTAAATGTATGTAACTGCCTCTAACATCCTCTCACTGCCTCTAACTGTATCTATCTTTCTCTCACTGTCAGTAACCGTAAACTGTATCTTACTGTCTCGTATTGCCTCTTGCTGTCTGTTATTGCCTGTTATTGACTATAAATGTATCTTCAAACCTCACTGCCTCTCAGTGCTTCTTACTTCTTCCTCTACGTTCCTCCCTGTAACAGCCTCTAGCTGCTTTTTACTGCTGCTTCCTGGAAAACCTAAAAAGTCTTCAAGTAACCCAAAACTTCTTAAACACTTTCTTGTCCCCACTCTTCCTCTCTCGCTCTCTCTCTCTCCGGGGTGGATATAAAAGGTCAAGGAATACTCTGCTCCATGCTGCATACATATTTCATGGGTACAGTGCTAATGTCACTGCGGGTATGAATATGCAGGAGGAAGACCACAGGAGGAAGGTCATCAAGCTGTCAGCGCAAAAAAGCCTCTGTGCTCTTCAGCCCTGACTCTCTCAAATAATGCCGGAAAATACTCCTGTGTGTGTGTGTGTGTGTGTGTGTGTGTGTGCTGTGTAAGAATTTCATTAGGGTGATGTGGAGAGCACACTGTTCTGATAGTGAGGAAAGTCAGTCACTCTGCTTGAGTTGGTAAATGGGCCTTGCATGAAACATTTAAACACAATTAACACAGTCAACTTGTGCCAAAAGGCTTTCAGCCAGAAATCTAGAACATGAAGCACAAGTTCCTCCACCACTTAGCACTGCAACGTCTGGCATGCAACAAGTACAGACCCATATGCAGCAAACTGGATTAGTCTATCATCCTCCACTCTTTCCCTCAAACAATAAACACACACATATATTTGGGATTATGTCTAATATGTATTACAAATGCACAAGATGTCCAGAGGTGTCCAGATACACCTACAAATGATTCAATTCAGCTATTTTAAGATGCATTCATTGCTGATAAAGGTGTTCAGTTGCACACATACAGCTCGTATAATCTCCATAGAAAAGTTCTGCCAATAGAATGGGATATTCTAGAGAAGCCGCACATGAGCCTGACTTCACTATGCCCAATGCCAAGCAGCTATGGGGGTGTAAAACCCTGAGCATTAGGCTGTGAGCAATGGAACTGTGCTGGAGTGATGAAGCCCCATCCAACACCTTTGGGATCAGCTGGATTGGCATCTGTGATCCAGAACTAATCATCCAACATCAGTACCTCATCTTCATCACCATCACTTTTATTTATACAGCTCCTTTCACAT